GCATGCAGTCAAGCATCAGAAGTGAAACAAGGTGTCTTCTTTCATTTTCTGTTGCTTCTGATACTCTGCTTAATGTTTTACAATATCACCCATTGCATTAGTTCATGTCTTTTTATCCCATCATGGAGACTTGGAAAATCAATAACACATGTAATAATTTGTAGCAATGTGTATTTACATTTCGTTCCTGATTCCTGGACTACAAAGTGTGAGTATCTGTATGATTTTATAAACAACTCTTACATCCTAAGAGATCATAAATAAATGCTGAGATTGTTTCTGGTATAAAACATGCATTTACTAAAATATAAATTTCAAAAGTTCTACTAGAATTCCTTAACAATCCTTGTGAAGAACTACTCAAAGAAATTAACACAATTCAAGGAGTTATCTAGCAAAGTTGAGTTGTAATTATTTTTCCTGGCTTCTCCAGCACAGAACTTTACAAAAGGTTCAGTATAAAATCTAATGCTACCCACGCTGTCAGGAAATAAGTTTTCCCTTAGGTAGTATCCCACATCCCCTAAGAAAACATGTGGTCTAGGACCTACAATCCTTTAAGACTGCATCATGTTGCCCTAAAGTCTTCAAAAGCAGCCTTAATTTACTGTTTATATTTATAGGATACATCAGTTTATAATGTAATCCTATTACTTTGAAATTCTGAATCTTGATTTCTCAATTAATATCTTTTAGAAATCTTTCAAGTTGTTTTATTTCTTGCCAAACTGAGCAGCAGCAGCAGCTTCCTTTATGGTATAGGGTGTGGAAGCCCCACTCTCAGTCTGAATAAAGAGTACATGCACACTGTGCACTGACATCCTCTGTAGCTGCTCACAGCTGCACAACAGCCCCATCTGACAACACTAGCTTTATATAGGCATCTAAACAAAAAGAAAGGAAACCATTCATTGTCTCTGAAGATTGCTGTCCTTGCCAGCAGCATGTAGTCTTTTGCTTTACAGTATTGAGGGGAAAAAAGTATGACCTAGGAACAGTAAATGGTAATGCCTAGTGATGTGTTCACTCCCTTTCAGTGAAATTATGCACAGAATGAACTCTAGCATGACCTAGCAGTTGTAGCTCTTTTCTTTGAGGGCTGATCAGACTTCTCAGTGCTGTACCTTTATATTCAGTTCATATTTAAAGTGCTACATAAGGAGTTGAAAGTGGAAACAGATTTCAAGGATCCCATTTTAGCATATGGGGGAAACACTTACTAGGTTTGCTAAAAGCTGTTGTCAAAACAGCTCTCTGCTCTGGCCTGCCTGTAGAGAAGCTGCCTACTGCCCAGGATGCTGTCAAATGCTGTGTCAACACCTCACAAGCCTGCATGGAGAATTATTCCTCTCTTTTACAAAAATTATTCTTTTTCCAAACAAACTCATCTTCAGTTGGCTTTTATAATAAAAAAATAATCTTTTACAAAGCTCACAAAGTCTTGGACACTAGAAGTGGAAAGGGCTTTTTAGGTCATCCAGTTTACACATCTGCCAGTGCATAATTGTGCACTGCAGGTTTTATTGCTTTTTATTTTTTTAATTTAATATTTAATTAAATTTAATTCTCTGCCTACTGCCTTTTTGTCCCATGTACGAAGGGAAGCAGGATTTATCAGTTCAGTCAAAAATTCGGTGGAGGAATTTTCTTATTTGCAGATTTGACATGTCTTGTTCATCTCAGTTACCATAAAGACTTGGAGATTTTGCATATTATCCTTTCATACTAAGACCACAACCAGCAATTTTGGCTTAAAATTACATTGGAATTAAAAAAAAAAATAGCAAGTTTTGAAGCTTATTCTTCAATTGTTTATCAGATTCATTTGCATCTGAACTTGCATAGATCTAGGTATGGGAACAGAGTAAAATTGACAGAAACTTTTGTTTCTCTCCTTTTTTTTTTTTTTTCTTTTTTTTTAAAGCAGAGCTCTGCCTTTATTTACAACATCCCCAGTCTAAATCTTTTCTTCTGGTCTTCCAGAAATTCTTCAATTGTTTATCAGATTCATTTGCATCTGAACTTGCATAGATCTAGGTATGGGAACAGAGTAAAATTGACAGAAACTTTTGTTTCTCTTCTGTTGTTTTTTGGTTTTTTTTCCCATTTTTAAAGCAGAGCTCTGCCTTTCTTTACAACATCCCCAGTCTAAATCTTTTCTTCTGGTCTTCCAGAAGACAAAAATTGTTATGATGAGGCTCTGTGGGCCATCTTCCATGCTATCTCATTCCCGATTCAACTCCTTCCCTGCACAAGGCCTGATGTTTCTCAGATTTTAACTGATTTACAATGACTTTGTTCCTGTCAGTGGAATCTTCATGAGATTCAGTCCTCAAAACTAGGTTTCAAAACAACTTTCATCAGTGTAGCAAGGTACAAGGTAGTTAAGCGTCTTCAGAAGATCTATCAGAGCTACCATAAAAGTGAGAGTTTGTTACTTAAAATCCTTTTGGGCATAAGGTTTCTGGATAACCAAAGAGAAATGTCTCTTCATGGTTGGATGTACATGCTAGGCCCAAAATTTCTGCTGCTGTGCTCACAAAATTGTAGAGGAAACACAAAGGCTTTGGTACATTAACCTCTGCATAGACTTCCAGGGCCTGTTCTTTCTTCTTTCCTTCTTTTAAAGCAATTGAAAAGAAACTGCTACCGTTCTGTCTCAAAATGTGGAAAATGCTGCTAGTTCTCTACATAACTGTTCAGGCTCCCTTTGGAGATTCTTCTTCTTGTTTCAAGACTGAGGATATATGACCATAGAAACTGCACTTTTCTAAGTTTTGCTGTTTATCCACCAAATCTATTTCTTAACACAGGGCCATATTGTGTCCTAATAACATTTTATCTTTTATTTCAGGTCTCTTTAACTATTGAAAAAGCCTTGAAAAACAAACAAACACACAAACAAAAACAAAACAAAACAAAAAAGTGAAATATTGTATAAAGCTACTGAAGTGAACATATTTTCTACACATGGTCAGAAAACACATTAAACATCTTAATATGTTTATGCTGAATTATACCTTGTACGAGGAAGTAATTGTTTATAACATACATAAACGCAAATTTCCACAAACTGTTACATTGCCAATTTAGTTGCTTACAACCTCTCCTAATATTAAGTTCCAGCTTGCCTTGATTAGGTCTTCATGAGAGCAAGGGAAATGGATTTGACAACAGGAACTAAAAGGTATTAATTTCAAAACACCATGTTTACCTTGCAAGATGTACCCAGAAATAAGGAGACTTAGTTCCAATCATTCCACTGAATCAAGTAATTTTGAACTTTGTTCTGCTGATACATTGGTATAATGATAAAAATGTCTTCTTTTTATACTTGAGAATGGACATAAATTTAGAACATGAAATTGAAAATTTTAGTCCTTTTTTTTATTTGCTCTGGGGAAAAGACCAAGAGCTCTTCTGGATATGATTGCCTTAAAAAGAATACCCTATAACTGAAAAAAAACCCCAAAACCCAACCACAAGAAAACCCCACAGGGATCCACTCAGAAGCTGAAATATATGAAGTTTACTTAATAACATGTACTTATTGGTCATTATGGTATCAAAAATTACTGACAGTTTATATGTTTTCTGGAACTAAGAAGTCAACTGTTCATTTTTTCCCAGGCTTTTACACATCTCATTGCTATCTAATCTAGTGTCCACAAACCCACTGTAAACACAGACTGATGCAAAGTAAACACTGAAGCCTCAGTATCAGATAAACAGAAGACTGAAGATTCAAATTTTTCTCTACATAAGTCTTCCCAACTTAATTTACAGAAAACTTTCCATATGTATCAATTTTCAGGGGACTTTATAAACTTTACATAGTTTTCTTTGATGAAGTCTACAGTTTTCCTGACCATACAGAGGCTCTGATTATACTTTCTGGAGATGGCAATTTGGAAAGGAAAGGAGGTGCTGTGTACAATTAGAAAATATTTATTATTTAGTACAGAGGTCAGGAAGAAAATATTTTTCACTTTTCTCAGAAAAAGAATAAAAATGCTTTAAGACCAATGTCTTAACTTCTGTGAGAGCTTTCGTATGATATTTGTAAAATTTTTGTGCCTCTCTGACATTAAAACTTCCACAAAAGAGGGGAACATTAGTGGGAATTTTTGTACACATGCAGAAAAAGTTGTGTCTCAGCATTGCTCCTTTGCTTCATTTTACAGAAGCTAGGGGACAAAAAGATCCTGTAAAGTGGTTTTTAATGAGCTAGGTGAAGGCACTAGAAGGGCGTTTGATAAATAACTCTGAAGAGGAAGACAGTGGAATGTTTTGTAAGAAAAGAGATGTTTGGCCAGCTGAGGATTATAGTATTAGCGAAGACCAAAGTGATGAAGTGTGAAACCAAAAACTGAGGAGTTAAAACTAACTTTATGTCCAGATACTACTATGGGTGTTTCAGGGGAAGAAATAAATTTTTAAGCATAGTAAACAAAATAATCATTTCCTCTTTGCTAGCAGAGACAGAAAGTAATTTTGCAGATGCAATCTAGGGATCTAGTCACCTGTTTTTTTTAATTCACTCATAAATTTCAGCCAGCAATAGTCTGAAATTTTCTGATTAGAAAATACCAGGGATATTTTTATTGAAAAGGCAGCAGGAAATGGTGTATTAATAATATTTTTTTTATCTGTTACATTTCTCCTTGAGTTATCTGAATAAAAAATACAAAATAGGACAGTTGAAGATGGAAATAAAAATGCAGAATAATGAAGAGGACAGAGGTGTAAACTCAGTCCAAAATGGAAAAGACAGATGTGGCCAGGACCAAGGATCTGCAATCCAAACATTCCAGAGAAATGAGTAACATCTTTTGCAAACACTCCCCAACACAATTAGTCTTTAGTTTTGTGTATTCCGATCATCAGAGGGATTTTCAAAGCTGAGGAGACAAAAATATTTCCATCTAATGCAAATTCCTAACTTGCTTTCAGCCTGATTTTGCTGCTCAGTTACTAATTAATCAACATATTAATTTTAGGTTTTCAAAGAAACTGGTGTCCATTTATTGTAGAACATCAAGGTTTCTCCATGCTGCTGCATATGCCTTTGTCTGCAACACCAAAAATACTACTTTATCCAGGTGAGTTAGAATGATCCCTGAGTTTACACACACTATTTGTGCTCCTGATAAATTTATTAACAAATGTTGAAAAAACTGCACACCCTAGAAAAGGAATCTCTGGGCAGCACGTAGTCAATTTATTTGCCATAAATTAAAAAAAAAAAAAAATCAAAGCAGCTTTTAAATAAACATGTGTCTTTCAAGAAGATCACATGGCAGACATGGCAGAAATTTGCTTACAAGACTGGATTGGTAAAAGGTGGCAGAGAGATCAATGCCTCTCTGCTTCTGCTGCAGCAACATCTAAAGTGGCTGCTCGTTTTGTGGGTGGTTCTTTTGCTTTTCAAATTCTCATAGCTGCGACTCTGTCCAGGCCCTGTCCTTCCCAAAGTACACAGAGATTGGGGAAAGGATAGCTAGCAACTGTGAAAATAACTTGGGACATCCAAATATGGTTTCCAAGGCAGTCATCTCATAAAACAGGTCAAATCTTGGGAAAGCAAAGGCAGTTTTTCATAAAATAATTTATATAAAACCATATTTATTTCAAGTGCATTAAGTGTAAAAATACTCTTAAAGGCAGAAAGGCAAGTTACACCTTAAAGAAGTTGCACATTCATAAAAAGGATGGTTTGTGTCATTAAAAAAAAGAGTGATTTTGTTTCAGATATGGCATTATAGGTTCAGGTAGATGCAGATTAAAATTTTAGAAATAAATTCTGGTCCAAGAGAATATGCTAAAACCATAAAATTATATTAAAAAGCTCACATGATCTGCAGAAAAGTATTACTGTTATTGCCCTGTGAATTAAGAAAATAAGATTTGTCTGAAATTCAAATAGATAATTTTATCATTCTAAAAATCAATTTAATTAAAAACTACCCATGATTTGCAAGGTCCTTTTGTTAAGGTAATTTTTTAAAGTTCAAAATTTGCAAATCCCAAAGCTTCTGTTTGCACTAAGTGGGAAAGGGTGAAGGTGAAGTGTATAAAGTGTTTTTTGTTGTAGGGTTATCTCATTCCAGAGTGCATTCTGGAGCACAGATGCATCAGTCCTTATATTAACTTATTTCAGACAGAATACATTTTATTTATTAACATGCCAAAATGTTTTGACTCCAGTTCAGTTCAATGGGTGGAGGTTGTCATGTGTAAAGAAAATATGCTGTTCTGTTGTTGCTGGCTTTGCCTCATGAGTTTGGAGGCAGCAGACAGGAGCAGAGCTCCTCCAGCACGCTCCCACAGAGGCACTGATGGAGCAGGAAGCTCCAGGAGGGCTGGCAGGGCGAAGGTGTCAGCCTTTCTGAATTTCTGCTCTGTCCTCATGTGATCTGATGTTCCAGTTTTCTCCATTCACAGAGTCCCTGGCTCAAATGTCAACCTCTTGCCTGCAAAACTGCTTGGTCTGGTTCCTCCCAAAACCCAAGTCTCTCAGAATCCCAGCATCCCTTTTCCAACAACACCCATCCTACACACCTTGAGAGTTCCCCCTTGAAGAGCTGGCACTCTGTAAGTTTTTAGTTACCTGTCTAGACAGGTGATTGTTTTGGTGGTTTAACATTAGTTCTGTTTGAAGGGAGAGCAAAAACACAGAACTACCCAGTTAACAGAGATTAGATGGTAACCCATGGCAGACAAACATGTTTTTCATAGAAATAGAGCTGGCTAAAAATAAAGATCACTGGCAAAAATATCCAAAATATTTGTATCAATGTGCAAAGGAACAATTTACAACACTTACTTTACAATATCACATGTGTGCAGGCCATTTTACAGTACATCTGGCTTAAAAATTGAAGGGTCTGTAAGAACACAAATATTTAATATATCTGAAATTAATGATAAAACAATGAAACTTGAGTAGCTAATTTAAATTTGACATAATTGTCAAAGCAAAACAAAAAGAAAAATACTGTAAACTCTTTGGGGAAAAGTTCTCTGCAGTGAAATTGCAGCACACAAAGAAGCACCAATTTAGCTTTCCTTAAATTTTTATTTTGTTAAGTAGTTTACAACAAAATCATTAGTGTGATGACTGTGAAACTCAGAAATGTTAAAAGAGCAAGCAGCTTCTAGCTCTTGATTCCCTGAAGATAACTGAGAGCCTGCAGGGTCAGCCAAGTAGTGGAAGCAGAGTGTTCTGCTTGTGCCTTGCTGGCTGGCTGTGGGGCTGCTTTATGGCTCCCTGGGGACAGGGGTGAGGGCTTTGGAGAGCAGCCTCTTCAGCTGCCACAGGTCTGAATAGCTCCTCTTCAGTCTCGTTTTCCTTTTGTCCAACTGGACTCCAGATGATCCCAGTGCTCTTAGTTAACCAAATTATGTGTAAGTGGAATAAGAACTAGATCAGCAGCTCTAAAAAAAGAGAATGCAGCAGGTAAAAATGGCAGGTAGATTCACCATCCAGGAGCTTTGAGATCTGCAGGTGCTCACAGATTCTTCTTGTAAATAAGACAATATGTATTGGGGTCCTATTTCAACCTCATAGTAGCTGCTCTCTCCAGACAAATTGGTAGCAATTTTTAAAAAATCTTTTATTTTGTGCTCATCAAGGCACAGTTCAGATGCATTTGAGCCTGGATTCCCAAGGACATCAAGCCAGCCTAGATAGGGTTAGTGTAACTCTTAGGAAATCAAAAGTACTTCAATGATAAGGAGTGTGGGAAGTGTCTTTGCATTGGATTGATAAAGTTGTGATGTTCTTATGATGTTCAACATATTCAAGTTTCTGACTTACATGTTAATAACTAACATTGTTTCCCACATCCATTGCTGAAGTGGTAGAAATAACTCTACAGTGAAAGAATTTCTTGCATGTGCCATTTTTGCCTGACACTTTCACAGAAACAGAAAATAGAAAAAAAATCTTGCTTGTTTATTCTTTCTTTCCACTATTCAGTTTATTAAAAAGACCTTGGTTCGTCTATAAATATGTTCCCTATCTATTTTAACACTTGCGTAATGAGCATCTATGTGTTTTGGAATTCTGATTTATTTTAAACTGAATCTTCAAAGTTTCCTTTCTGCTTGAAACATATCAGAATGCCATACTTCAATATCAGTTCCAGAAAGAGCCAGATGCAGAAATTTCTGGGAAGGATTAATAGGTTTTTTTCTCTTTGGAGGGGTCGTTAGCTCTGCATGAACAGATTAAAGATTCCTTGCTCATTGTATTCCAAAATAGGAGAGCACTGGGTCCAAAGAAAAAGTAGTGCACATTGTTAGATTGATAACTATAAGTTATTCAAGGTCAAATTCTCTGAATTCTTATGGTTTGAATTATTTTTTACTCTTTGCTTAGCAGAAATTGCAGTCCACCCTTCTTGTGTACTTTCACGGGTGCCACATTAAAAGCATCTTATGAATATTTAAGCATTGCTGCTGACAGTTTTGTAGCTTTTCAAAGATACTGATGAGGTGAATTTTCCTGAAGGTCATTTTTTTGAAAACAGTGTTTCAATAAGGGTTTAAAGATTAACTCTGAAAAGACACCTTATTGCAACTTTGAAAAGGTTTTAAACTAATTAATAAAAAAGACCTCATTCTTCCCCCCCTCCCATGTTAGCATATAGGAAATGTTTGATTTAATATATGTTGTTTGTTCACCTACATGACATTTTATTCTCAAGTTAATGAAAACATAATACGACAAAAATCCATTGCTGAAATTTTGCGTGCTCAATGTTCATCCATCTTTATTAGAAGTCTAAGGTAAAAATCACAAATACACTAAAATGGTGGTGCCATAAATTTGCCCTGAACACACAAATCTTATACTAGTGTTTTCTTTCTATCACAATATTATCTGCACTGAGGGGTAGGGAAACTCAGGCTTTCCTATGACATAATTTATGAGACTTTATTTTAAATGGACACTCAAAACTTTTTTGGTGATAACATCCCATGGCACCAATTTTTATTTCATACACCACAAGTGTTACAAATTCTTACCAAATGTATTGTGCAGCTTTCATTCTCTTGATGTTTCTTGAGGATGTATGCCCTTGCCCTTGGTTTTGTTGAAAAGCATGATACCTGTGGAGGCCAGGTTTGGCAGGAGGGGGTATCTGCTTCAACAGCAGCTGCTTACACGGAAAGCAGCTCTGACTTTGAGGATGTAGGATCTATCCCACTAGAAATTCATAAACGTTTCCATGATCTTCCTTTATCCTTAATTTTAACAGTGGCATACCACACACAGGCTTTTCACCATTTTTCAGCAGGAGGTGACTATTAAATATTACCAACTATATCATGTGACAACCTGTTGCAACACGTGGCAAATTTGCTGCTCCTTTCCTCACTAAAGTTTCAAGGTGCTGCTGTGCATTCCTGGCACTGACACAGGAGCCCTGAGCCCCCAGAAACAGGCACTGCTCAGCTCTGCCTGCAAAGGGTGTGTAAGAGAGAGCTGCAGGGCTGTTCAAAAGGAAAGCATATTTTATTCTCTTTTGCAATGTGGAACCAAGTAAATAGTCTTGTCAGTATGTTTTTCATACTTAACAACCTACAGGGCTCCTGGTTTGTGTCATACCCAGGCTAACATGCATGCAAGCACCTGGAGAAGGCGACTGTAAAACTTTATCCTGAGGTTGCTCCAGGCTAAAAAGCACTAGAACAGACACTGATGGGAAGCATCATGCACGTTCTGACTTTTTCTGGTTTTTCCCTAGAACAGTCTTTGCACATCATGAAAACAGAAGGAATTGCATTTACTGAGAAGAACAGGCCTGGGGCAGAAAGTCATTTATCATTTGTATTGATATTTTTTGTATTTGTTAGTAAAATTGATAAGTTCATTGATCTATTTTGTACTGCAATGCCCAATTTAACTTGGAACATGGACCTCAACAGCAGTGCAGTTCTCTGTAGCTTGTGCACATGCATGATTTTAGAAATGTTAACCATTATAAGAATATTGATTAAATATATCCTCAGAAATTTGTTCTGTGCTGCGCCTGTATTTAAGAACTATCTTTTTTTCCTTTCAGAAGTTCAGCTAAAAGTATAGAAGACCTGAATCTGGGGATCTGCACTACCTGAACAGTGGCAAAGGACTAAACAATTTGCAATGTAATACTCCAGAATGTTGTAATGTTTCATTCTCTGGTGGCACAATTCTGTTTCCGAATGTACCAAGAGTTTGATGGGAATGCCAGTTATATTTCTGAGGAATAATGGTGAGTGTCATCTGGCTGCTGAGGATAGAGTTTGAAGTACCTGACAATCCCCACAAACTGTAATTCACTAAATGTGGCACTGGATCAGGACCAGCGCTCATGCTTATTCTGGTCATGTATTTATTTAGCATTTTTAGAAAATATTTTCTCATCCTTATGTTGTAGTTTCCTGTTTGACTAACATAAGGATGGCACTTGATAAAGTTCTCAGACCTCTGTAGGTGGTAAATGTGTAAAGTAACTGGTTATTTGAAATTTCATTGCTCTTCCAAAGGAAAAATCTTTCCTTTCTGAGTAGTTAAAATGGTCATGGGTGATACCTTGGGAGCTGGAAAATTCATGGTATGCAGTGGTTTAGTCCAAAATGGTAAAACATGGAGACACACAGGAAGGCAGCTTATGGGAAACATAGTACAATAACAACCCTGACCTCCTGGCCTCTAGAAATTAGGAAGTGCAATTCCTAAATCAAAACCAGCATCAGGAGTTCTGGGAATGGAAACAGGCTTAATTCTCTGTGGTGCAAAGGACCCGAGATCTCTGTAACAACGGGTCAGGCTTTCAATCCTGTGTACGTATCCGCTTGTTCCGTGCATTCCCAGGAGCTGTGTGCTCTCCTGGCCTTGGGAAGAAGCAGAAGCCAGTGGGGGAGATGCAGGGTGTGTGACAGGGGACTGGCACTCTTTCCATGCTGGTGGGATGCAGAGTTGCCCTGTAGTAGGGGGATTTGTGTAGTCCTCTCTTCCCACCAGGGGATCTCTTTGCAATCAAGACTCTGCTTCTCTCCTGTAATGCCAACTGAACTGGTTGAATACTGCCACTGCTGTAAACATCAGCAAAGAGACACCCACACCAGATCTCTAACCTTGCAATAATTACTCATTGGGCATAGTGGCATTCACCAAGAGATTCTTTCTACTGCTTCTTTTTATTTTCTGCATGTAAGATTTCTTCACTGGTGTGGGTCCTGGAGCTTGACTGATCTCTAGCAAGAGTTTGGTGGAGTTTCCCTTTGAGGACAGAGATTCAGCTGGCCTGGGAAGGTGGGATGGGATGTGTCTTCATTTAAGGCATGCTCTCAATTCTTTGCTCTCAAAATCATGACTATGGTATTCTTCTGTAATCACAATGCTGGCCTTATAGTGTTGTTTTTCATTATAATCATAGCAGCCTATTCACTCTTCTGCCATTTGAAAAAAAAAAAAAAGACATTTAATACCATTCAAATAAGGATTTAATTAATTGAAGGAGGCACTTTTCTGAATTTTCCATGTGTGTAGAAAATGATGTGCTGAGAAGAATGCATTCTTATATTAGGAGTAAGAAGATTTCACACCTCAAAGCTGTTTATTGGAAAAAAAGTTATATTGTTCCAATTAAAAAGCATGTTTCTCCTATTATATTTATTTCTTTTTGCCATGACTCACAATTTTTAGGAAAGGAGATAGAAAACATTCCTTGTCTTTAGGAAACAAAGAGCAAGTGGATCTTGAATGAGGAATAATAATTTTCTGATTCACAGAAAAGTTTGAATCCAATTTACATAAGGGTTTCAAGTGAAAATTTAAAAATAATTATGTTACCACTCTTCATGGCACAGAGTCTGCAGAGATGAAAATGAATGAATGTTTGGTATTTTCATTTGGTTCTCCAGATGATTCTTCCTAGCTACTGAATTTGGTCACCAGAGCCTATCACAACTTGCCTGTTGCTACTTTGGAGGCAGGGGTGGGTGTGGGATTGTGGTACTTTTTTACTCAGTGTATCTAAGAAAACTTTCCCTCCCTTTCCTATCATAGCCCAGACAGTTCTACTGACATACAGTTGATATGTTTGAAGTAGGGTTTTGTGTTCTGTAATATTAAGATAAAACCTGCAAGCTCATGTAAAGCTTAACCATAAAATCAGTTCAAATCAGTAGCATAGCTACATAACAATTTACATTTCTTTAATATCTTCTTTATATGCCATTATAATTGATGTTGTTGGTATGGACTTTGAGACTCTTGAATACCAGGTGGTGATGTAATGCTCTTAGGACAGGATTCATCTTGGAAGGAAAGATATTTTAAAAGCTGCCTTTGAAAAGCAGAACAGATCAACCCATATATCTAAATTAGGGTCCCACATTGTTGCCCCATGCATGACATGAGTCCATAAGTGGCAGTAGTTTCCAACAACAGAGGTATAGCGGGCTCTGTGACAGGAAACTGGAGTTTACAGCAGAGAAAAGAATGTGAGAAGGTCACAGATCAGGAAAAAATCCCATAAAATACACGGCGAGAGAATCCTCGCTGTCAGCCCTCTGTGCTGTCCACCCACCAGTGTGAGCAGCAGCAGGGCTGGCCCCAGTGTGGTACACTTCCCCTCTTTCCAGAAAAGCAGCTGGACGCTGTTTCTCCTTTCTAGGAAATCAGTGTGCACTTTGGGACATGTGGAACACTTACAGTCCAGCAGAGAACGTCATACCTGCCTTATACCATCAAAACTGGGCTGACTCTATTCCTGAAGACTGCTATTTCTTTTCTTTTTTAAAACTGGGATTTCATTTCTAGGGGAAGACTCTTGTATTACAATGGTCTCTGACCTTCTTGTACATCTCCCATGGCCTTCATTTAGAAAAGGTTGTGGTTTTTTCAAAGTTTCCTTTTTTTTCTTTTTTGCCTTGGTAATTATTTTTGCTTCCCAGCCCATTAATATTGAACAGATCAAGAGTTAAAACATTTAATCCTGTGTTCTTCTCTTTTCTGTTTTTTTCTAAAGGATGAGTCATAGTACGGATGGCCTTTTGTTATTCTTTAGTAAATTCAAACAAGATTATTTATTCCCTCATTAGAAAAACAATAAATCAGCAAAGAGAAAAATGTGAAACAATGACTTTAAAAGATATTTGCCATGTTTTAAAGTTATTGGTTTATTTTTTTGTTTGGTATTTTGTTGTTTTTTTTTTTTATTTGAAGGGGATGGCCATGAAACAATGACTTTAAAAGATATTTGCCATGTTTTAAAGTTATTGGTTTATTTTTTGGTTTGGTGTTTTGTTTTTTTGGGTTTTTTTGGTTTTTTTTTAATTTAAAAGGGATGGCCAAAAAAAGTGCTCCTAAAATCTTCTAGATTACTATTGCTGAAGCTTGGAACCTTTTGATGGTGAGGTTCCATAGGAACCATAGCTGAAGCACAATAAACATGGGCACTTCTGGGACCCACATGTGCTGTCTGAAGCAATGGTGATTTGAGCAGAGCCAACAAGAGGAAGTGATTTCCATGATGTACCTCCACTTTCTACACCAGCCCTGAGGTCAAAAAGATGTCCTGCTTTTTATGATAATTCATTCTTGGACTGTTCTTCTGATGAATGTAACACATTTTTTGTTACTTAGAGATATATCAAAATACTTTTTCTTTTGTGATTGTATAAAATTAAGCATACACACAAATTCAGAGCCAAGTTTTTCTTAAATTTATAAATATTTTCTGCCATCCTATATTATCTTGATGTCCAACAACCACAAGCTGCAGAGCACAAAAGCCTTTATGAGATCCTCTCCTGACAGAAAATCTTGTAGCCGTTTCATCAAATACTTCCTAAGGTGCACAGAACTGTGCTATTTCTTTAAGAAGTGAAGATCTGGGGTTTTTTCAGTTGCCAAGTGGAAATCTGGATTGGCGAAGAGAAGAAAGGATTCCTTTCAAAATAATTTTGACACCTCAGTGAAAAGGAGGAGCATCCTCACAAAGGCATGGAGCCAAAGTTCTGCATTAACAGATCCCATCCCTGGAGACAGAGGAAGGTGCGTGCTCAGTACAGAGAAACCCCGCCCTGGCCATGGATGTCAAATTCCCCAGCACTCAGTACACCCAAAGGTCATTAAACTGCTTTGGCTTCTGTCCCTCCTGCTGGGAAGAGAAAATGCTGTGGGTGCTGTCTCTGCTTCACCCGTATGCAGTCATAATGTTGGCTCTGCCTTAAGAGCCTTCACAGCTGTGCTGTAACACAGTTCCCAACATGACTCAGATGAAGGATTTTATTTAATCTGCACAGGACTTTGGAAAAAAAAGAGAGAATTTTAGTTTGTGGAAACCTTGAGAATGTGCAAAGCTGGAAAAAGAGGACACGAGAACAAGAGGCTGGGTCTCAAAACTTGATTTCCCATTGTCTTAGCATAAAATTTCAGTGAAAATGGAAAGATGGGAGAAGAATGAAACCATTTCATTGCCTTGGCTGCATTTCATTCCTGTAATAGTCCATTAGAGCTTCAGTCATAGTTTGCATTGCTTCTAGCTCACAAACAGGAATTGTTGAGAAGTATGTGGCTATGTTTTGGGGTTTTCGTTGTTTAGTAGCTTTAGACTCAGTTTTTCTTGTAGGTTCTTTCCCCCACTGTGCTTTCTGTCACTATTTGCACTATTCACAGTGCTTTATTTATGAGAAACTGTGCGCTCCTTTTAAAATTTGGAGATTTTTTACTATCATTAAAATCCACACAGAAAAAAAAAAAACTGTCTTGTTGCTGGCATAGAAGTAACTGCAATGACAAAATTTGAAGATTCTTAGTTCAGATTAAGCTCTCAGAAACAAGGAATATTTACCAACTGATTCTACAGGCCAGAACTTTGGCAACTTTTAAAGCAACACTTATATAATTTACTTACTTAAGGACTGAACATTTGGCAGGGTGGACAAGAGGTCACTTGATAAATATATAAAAGCAAATCTCTCATTTGTCTTTCTTAGGAAGAATGTCACTAACCACAATAGTCAAACAGGCACAAGGAATCCCAGATTGCATGAATATTCCAGCATTTGATTAAGAGGTAGTTTTGATCTAGACATCTTTTATGGTATCTACTTATAAACAATTGTTTCAGGTTCCTCCATCAAAGATGCACCAATTTTGATATGAGTGCCTTTTCCAGTTTAGTCCAGAT